AGACATGCTAGTTTCTAGATGCATGGGCCGTGTGGTGACAGCGTTTGTTCAGCAGTGCTGGAAATCTTGAAGCACTTCCGGAAGGTTTATCCTCACGCTTATCCTCGGGATGCCACGGGGGGAGGGGAAGAAACTATTGGGAGTGCAGCCTCTATTCTAGACTCTGGCTGTGCTTGGGCCATCTGAAAGCTCTCAGGGGGCATCTCTTCCGAAGGCAGTGAGCAGAGAAGCAAGTGCAAGTGCAGGGAAGGATGGATCTCTTCTTGAGGACTAGGGGGTTGATGTGAAAAGCTGGAAGGCCTCTGGGCTTGCATGGGGACATTTCAGCTGGCTCCCACCTTCTCCAGAAAACCTTCTCTGAGTCAGCCTCTGCCAACAAGTATGGGATGTGGGATGCAGGGTCTGGAAGGAACCTAACTCCTCGCTGCCTCTTGTGGGTCCCTCGCTGTGCAGATGGAGTGAGAAAGACTCCAAGAAGACTATAGGAATATCTCAGAAGGCAACTGTTTCCATGACACCAAGCTGTTTCCCTTTCCCACCCTCACTGCCTGGACTTAACTCTTGTGGCTTACTTTTCTCTCTTTTACTTTTTCTCTTTCTTACCATTCGCTGCCTTCTCCCCCGTACCTCCTGAAACCCTGCTTCTGTCTCTTGCCTCAGCCTGTGGGGTTTGCTCAATCGAACCTAGGGCTCTTTTTCTAGTGAGTTCTCAAGCCTTTTATTTGTTACTGTAGTCTCTCCATCTGAAAGGTGGGTACAATGTTGCCAGAGCCCCTAATTCCTACCTTGGGGACAGAAGACTTAGATGCTGGATCAAATTTTGCTTGGGGTAACATAGGAGTGGATGGTACTTATTACATACCTCAGAGTCATCTCATTCATTAATTAACCCATCCATTTATTCATTCAACAATTGAGGATGAGCATCTTCTGAGCTCTGGGGGTGTAACTTGGACTAAGAGATGACAGCGTGCTGTGTGAGCAGAGTGTGAGGATGAAGTTCCAGGACCCTGCGGGAGCTTAAGTCAGAGAGCTCAAGCAGCTGGGTGATGTTTTGGGGGAGCTTAGCCACAAGGACGAGTCGTTACCATCACCTCACTAGAGCTCTGAGGCTCTCTTGCTTCCTGTATGCATGTCTATTTACTGGTCTGCCAAATGGAACTGAAGGAATAGGTTGTCCTTACAGGAATCCCTGAGTATGGGGCTCTACGAGTGGATTGTCAAACAGAACAGTATGCCTTCTATGGGAAGTAGTTGCTTCATTCATTCATTCATTCATTCATTTTTGGTGGTGCTAGATTAATGCTAGGCAAAGGCTTTATCTTTGAGTTATATCTCTGTCAATGCTAAATGTCTTTAGCTAAAGTGTGCTCTTGGCTCAGTATGATGGGCTATATCTTTCCTTTCTATCAAGTTTAAATCTTTACCACTAGTGTGTTTCTGCCTCAGGTCTGTGGTGTTTTTTTTTTTTGAATGCCCTTCCTCAATCTGAAGGCTGAGTGTTCTGAATGTCCCAACACTCAGAGTAACAGATTTGTGTCTCCGACTCTGCCTGCCATCTTTCTGTCTGACTCTGCCCCCTGTGGGGCAGTTGGTGGCCCTGGAAGGCATGTACAGGTTCTGCAAGGCTCCGTACCACTCCCAAGTCTCCAAGAGCAATTAAAACAAAAACCATGCTAGAATGTTGAAATGCCATGAGCCTAAAGAGCCAGGATATTGAGACCAGGCAATCAGACCAATAGAATGCTGGGGTTCAAGGATTATGGGGTGTCAGAAATTCGGATTTTATTCAGACTAGAGTGTGCTAGGGCCACAGATACTGATAACTTTCGACTGTTGGGGTTAGAAAAGAAGGGGCCCTCGAGTTATCTGTCCCCCCACCCCACACCAATCTACTGGCGACCCATGCTTCCAACTTAGCTCCTCTGGTTCCTGAATCACACATTACTGAAAAGAAGGTGCTACCAGATCCTTAGATAGCTGAACAGATAAACATCCTGAGAAAATCTATTTCCCTGGAATGGAGGATAAAAATCACCATTTCCTCCTAGTGCCCAGTAAGCCCCTCTCACTCACGAGATGCCCTAGACTGAACGGAATATACTTAGTTCTGTATGATTTGGTTCACCAGGTCTTTGTGCAAAATCTGTCAGGTGCTAGCGATTTTGAGACTGTGGGTCCTGTCTTGGTACCGTTCACATGCACGGGGTGGTCACAGAGCAGGGGCTGTGCAGGTAAAATCAAGAGGCAGCTGGGTAAAGGGTCCATCTTTAAATCCTAGCTGTTGGGTGTTGCTAGAGAAACCGCTTACAATTCCACAGGGTTATGGGTCTTCATTGCCAGCAGAGTGAGCAAGTACCTGGCAGGCACCTGCTGGAATCCTGGTCCTCGGCAGACATAAGGTCAGGGCTCTGCTTTGCTGGGCTCGGATGTGCTCTTCAGAGCACCACACTCTAGGCATCTACTGGCAGTCAGCCACCAATGGCTCCAGTTAAGTCTACTCTAACTTCCTGTCCTGGTCAAGTTTGTGATCGGTCTCTCTTGCATTCATGTCAAATGCTTTCCCCTCTTCAAACCAAGAGCCCTTTATCTTCCTTCTCAACTTCACCTTCCAGCAGAAAGAGCAGCAGACCTGGTTAGAAGCCATCAGCTACCTGCTTATCCACACTTTAGGTGAGGAGGTACCCTCTTCTGCCTGGAGACCAACTCTCTTCTCTTGCTCCATTCCTCCAAACCTACCTCTTCCTATACCAACCAGCAGTCCCAGTCACTACTTAGGTAATGAGGCTTTAAAAGGGCCACAACAGTCGCCTTGAACTTGGCAGCACCTCTTCTCTCATTCCTTTTATGATGCCAAGCTATTTCCTATATAAAAGCAATGTGGATATATGTGGTACTAAACCCAGTTACCAGTTTTTAGTGTTGCTGAGTAAGGACTCTGAGATCCCTTTATGCGTCTGTCTCCACCAACTTGTTGCAGGATGCTTTAGCTTGAAAAGGTGCTGGAGTGGATCATTGTGGCCCGTGTGCTTGAGACATGAGAAGAAGGTCTGTGTTCTGCTTCTTTAGGCTCTCGGCTTTCTCAGCTACAGGAGAGAGCTGGTGCTGTAAGATCATTGGGCTCTGGGTAAGCTTAGACCTGCATCCTGGGCCCATTCTGGAGGGGCATCCTGCTCTCTCACTGGCCTCCCTCAGTGACTGGGCTCTCTGGAGGGTCTTGCAAGCCTGAGGAACCAGGGAACTAGGTGACTCCAGTGGCTGCCCTTTTCCAGGCAACTAAGATCATGTGGTACAGAATCACTGCCCAGAGGCTGCTGTGTAGTGAGAGGAGAGGTGTTGGGGCTCACTTCCTTGCACAGTTCCTCACAGCTCCCTGGCTCACAACAGGCCCCCTGCATATATCCTGCAAGAGGAAGAGTGGTCCTCCCATCTCCATGTATTAGTCCAGGTTTTGTTCCCGTAGGCTCTTCCAGGAGGTCCTTCTAGATCCCCTGTGAGACCCCATCTGTCTCCTACACTCGTGCCAGAATCCTAGACAGCTTGCAATCTGAGACAGCTCAAGCCGAAGCCAGCCCCTCCTGTCTAAGAGAGTAAACTGAGGTTGTAAGAGAGGAGGAGACTTGCTGGAGGCCACAGTGAGCCATAGCAGAGCCAGTGAGTCCAGAGCTCTTTCTGTGCAGCTTCTGTGGCCTAATGAGCTGTCTTCAAAGAGCCTGCATCTATGGCTGAGCTCCTCCCACCAGCCTCACTGCTGCAATAGGGGTTCAGGAGGGGGAAGAACAGCCTGTATAAATATACCCCTGGCGCATGCCCTTGACATACTTGGAGATGAATGGGAGTAAGGGACACACAGAGACAGATAGTAATCAGCCCCATTCAAAGTCAGGATGTCCAGAGGAGCCCTTGTGGATTGCATTGACTTCTTGGCTTAGATAGTGAAGTCCACAAAAAGAGAGGCCAGAGCAGCAGAATGATGGACATATCTATAAGTCTCCATCTTGTCTGTTTGAGGCAGGGTCTTATATAGCTACTACATAGCTCTGGCTGGCCTTGAACTGTCTAGGTAGACCAGGCTGGCCTCAGAGACTTGCCTGCTTCTGTCTCCAGACTGCTTGGATTATGGATGTACATCATCACACTCAGCTGTAAGATACCTCTTAATTTTTATAAAACACAGGTGGATTCCCAACATTCAAGTGGCAAGAAGTAAATTACATTATTGTAAATCACTGAGCAAAAGCTGACTAACAAAGAACTCAAATTCACTATCCTGGCCCCAATGCAGCCTTTGTAGAGACACCACAGAGAAAGGCAGAAATGGGCAGGGGGAACAGAGAAGGAATAGGGACCCCAAGGAACCACGTGTAAACATATTTAGTTCCCTTCGCAGGAGAAGAAAGATCCCCAGAAACATTTAGTGCATGCCCTGTGTTGCCACGGCGATGCTTAAGTTCATTATAATGGTGATGAAGATGATGATTGTAGCTGCCATTCTAAATTCCTGTCACATGGCAGGTTATTTAAATGTCACACATCCTTACAACTGCCTGACAACATAGACACTTTTCATTAATCAAATAGTTATTTCTATCCTTTCCATTAATAGAAGAGAAAACTGGACCCTTGGGAAAGTACCAGACATGGTGACATGACACATGGCCTGGTTGGAGGTGGAGTCAGAACTGTGGGCTGTCAAAGTCCATCTCCCTCACCCCTGAGGCCACAGGACCCTTCTGATTAGCCCTTGTTCTAGGTGGGGTGTGTCCAGGCTGGATGGGAGGATTGTTTTGGACTTTCATAACTCCACCTGGCACTCAAAGGGGCTGTAGAGTTACCATGGATGGGGCAGAGGTTGTTTCCCTTGCTAAGGATGATGCTATAAGAGAATAGTTGGTCAGAAGCTGGGGAAGTACTAGGGCCCTAGCCCTGCTCCTGGGTACCTAGCCTGACCTCTTTTGAGCCTCAGCTTTTCCCTCAACCAGAGAAGATCGGGGCCAAACCTGCTCCGAAGGCAAAGAAGCAGATCTTGTCCTGGTTCTCCTGCAGCAGCGCCATGACTCTCCTCCCCATGCGCTCATTCCTCTTGTAGATGAGCTCCTGGCGGAAGTAGCTGTCAATCTCCTGGGCTGTCACCTGCTCATGAGGTGGGAGGGTGGTGTTGATGAAATTGGGGAGCTGCAACAGTAAGACAGAAGCCACCTTCAGGTCTTGATGGAGCAGGGCACATGTCAGATAAACACAAGGTCCAGGTAGGACTGGCAATTTCCCTTTCTGAGGCCCCACAGTAGGCTCGGTGCTGTTTCATCAACCCTCAAACCCTCAGAGACGAGCATTGTTCCAGTTTTCCATGTGAAGCAGGGCCGAGAGGGAACAATCCAGAGATGTGTGCAGCCACAGCTAGGGCAGTCATAGCCCAGCTATGCTCTGATGGTAAGATGTCACACAGGCCTGCCTGATATTTCTTTAGAGGTTGGGGCCCAAGAGGCTGCAGCCACGCTGAGTTCCTTATGTCCCTGCTGTGGCTGCACTCCACCCTCTGTTCTACAGAGATGCACAGGGCAGCACTTTCGGCTTTTCCCAAGTCTGAGCTGCTATCTGCCGTTCTGGCTTCACCCTTCCAGATCTTGGTCTTTTCCTGTTAACTATTCCAGGATCACAGCTTGTAGGATAAGTTGCCTAGGCTAATGCTTGTGGGATAAGCTGCCTAGGGATTGTTCATCCTTACTTCCTAGGTCCTTTACCCTCACTCTTCTCCGCATCCAGCCTGAGATCCAGCTCTGCCGATGTGCTTTCGAACTAGGCAGAGGGATCCCTGAGTTCAAGGATGAAGTTACATCATTCCAAGTCCCCAGGGCCTACTCAAGGATTGGCGCATCTTCCTGATACAAGATATAGGAAGATGCCTACATCTTGAACATAAGATCGCACTACCCCTTCTGGATTGCTATGTTCATATTGTTTCATCTATTCGGCCTGACAGTAGGTTTGGGCACACTAGAACCATCTCCTCCAACATGTGCAAGGGGGCTGCTGCGGAAACTAAGACAATGAATCAACACACACTGTCTTTTCTCTTGATCCACCCATATCATAACATCCTCCAAGCTCCTGCTCATAGAACATCTCCCACTTCTCAGTGTCTTCTACCCAAGCATAAAGCACAAAATACCAGTCCTGATTGAAAGATGAGGGGGATTGTGCCAGAAGATACCAACTTCCTAGAGATCTTAGTCCTTCAGAAGAGCCAATTATTAGCCCAGTGACATGCTTGCCTTTTTTTTTTTTTTTAACAGCCACTGTTGAGTTGTCAGCATTCTTTCTGGGGAAGACGGAGAGTTAACAGAGACTGAATCTGCCTCTGGTATGCTCGCCAAGGACCCATGGGTGCAATTGGGTGGTAAACGCACTTGCACCGTACGGCTCTGTCGTCAGAGAGGCCAGACTCACTGCTCTGGGATGAAGATGGCAGTGATGTGATTGTCTCAACGTGAGCCGTGCACAATGTGTACAACGTACGCAGCAGCCCTGCTCATGCCTAGGCCGGTCCAGAGCTGGCACCCAGAGACTGCTGCTTTGGCAGGTAGACAAACGAAGGAACTGCGCGCTCACGCTCCTCCACACTGGAAGGGATGACTGGCAGCCCCGATGGGATAGGTCACCCTTGACTTGATGGAGTTACAGGAGATGCTAGAGGATTTGAAGTCAGGTGTGGAGAACAGCCAGGACATGACTAGAAGGGCTGTTTCTGGAAACATGCCTCTCAAAGGCCTCTCCCCATTTACGGGATATGGGAGAGGATAGGAGGCCATGCTTTATTACACATAAGTGTTTGTTTAGTCGGTGAGCAAGTGGCTGGATGAGCGGGCTGAGTGACAGCTGAGGAAGAGCGGTGATGAGCACAGGTCCTGCAGTCCCACAGCCAGGGCAGCTTGGGTGCCATCCCTCTTTCCTTGCTCGGTGCTACACTAGGTGATGGACTCTCTGAGTCTCACATTCCTCCTTGGTAACAGGGGAACACGCATGGCTTATTGCATGGATTCAATGAGACCAGCTTTGGAAGATGCTAGCGCAGTAAGGCACCTCACCTTGCACTGTCCCCTTCCCATGTGATGTCACAGGCTACTAGAGAAGGGTGGCCTCCAGAGACGACAGACGGTCATTAGAACCACCAGAGAGACGTGAAGACAGAGGTCTGAGTCCCCTCCTTCTCCCATGGATAATGGAACCCGTGGGCATGTGTTCTTCCTTCCTTCCTGCTATGCTTTCCACCCACAAAACACACCCAAAAAAGACTCCCCAGGGGGCCGAAGCTATTTATAAGGGCAAGAAAGAGAGTAAAATTTCAAAAGCATGAGGAAGCAGGGCTGGACACTCAGCTTCCCCTGGACTTCCTAGCCACTGGCTAACACTCTCTGTGTGTCTCATGCTGATGGGCCTTGGCCCCATGCCAAGGATGGGGCCTGGGTTTGCGCCAGGCCTGGGGGAGAAGTAAATTAATGATGTCATTAGACCTGTCTGGGGCCTTAAATCTCCCATGACAAGTTTAAGTGCAGGGCATATGATAACATTTTGAAGAGATCATGGAATGTCCCTAGAGCTCTAGAGAGGCTGGTGTGTGATGGGGTGACAAGGAGATGGGCCAGGCGGGACTGCTGTGAGGTTATGGGGGAGCGGTTCAATAGGCTTCCCTGGTCTGTAGCTAGGGATGGCTAAGTGCCCAGGCCTGTTGATAATCCTCAACTACCCACTTCCCTGTACCCACCTACCCAGTAGGCAACCTCTGAGAAACACCCTAGATCCTGCCCTGTGTCAGGCTAGGGCCACCCCAGCGCTTTCGAGCTGGGTCCTCTGTCTCTCATGAGAGTACCAGCCCATTAGAGGGGTCAGCCATGCTTGCAGGAATACTATGGGATGTACAGTAGGAGAGGGTGAGAAGAAGTGTTCCAAGAAGGTCCCTGATGGTTGACTATGGAGCATGGTTGGCCTAGGTCAGCCTAGGTTTGCGGTTGGAGGAGATGGGGCACTGCCATAAATGATTTGACTCTGAGGAATATTCTACTGTCAAAAGTCTCTGCACTTGGATAAAACATATATGTGGCTACCGTTCCCCTCAGGGAGCTTGGGACCCCAGGCTTGCCAGGTAGGACTTCTGTGTGGTCTTCCCATTATGGACACTAACAACATCCATAACCTGGAGCTGCAGAGAGAGACAGGGCGCAGTCATTGTTGAGGGGTGGGGGGTGGAACTTAGAGGTATTCTGTTAGGGAGTAAGGAGCAAGGGGCCTCAGGCCCTGCGTTAGTTTCACCCTGATCTCCAAAGGCTACTTGATCACCCTCCCCACTGCAGCCAGAGGCATCTTTTTGACTGCACTGATCCATGCACTCCTGGGGGGTGGGGGGTCTTACTCCTTAGCTGCATTCCCACCCCATGCTTGTTTTTTGCTATGCAAGCCACACCCTCTGGAAACATCTACCAGTCCCTCCTCTTGGCTGTCATTCTCACCTAGGAAGCTCGACTAACAAGCTTAGTTCCTACTTTATGATTTACCCTGGAGCCTCCCTGACTGCTCAGGGGGATGAGCCCTAAAACTCTAGATCCCCAGACCTTGAGGCTGAAAGGCCTCCGACTGCAGATGCGGCCACACATAGTGAGAAGTGTGATGGCAGGGTTCAGCCTTGTGACTCCGGATTTTCTCCTCCTCAGGACAGGTTTCCTGTGTATCCCGTATGCAGCCTGGACTATGATTCAGCTCTGGGCAGACCACTTGCTCTGCTGGGGGACATGGCTGCAGCCACCAGAGATCAGCAGAGATTCAAAGGAAATCTGAACTGACCATCCTCCAGGCTCACCCCATGTGTCTTCTGCCTGGCTTAGAGTCAGCCACAGGCCTTATCTTGTTCACCCCTTCTTCCTCAGGCCAGCCGCTTCACAGCCAGGTATCCAACTTATAACCAAGACCCTTTGCTGTGGAGTCACCCTCCACCCGCCAAACGAGGCCATTAATAGATTCAGAGCAAGGCTCACCAGAAGTGGGGCTCTGGTGAGAGTCCCCATCAGTTCACAGTGTCAGGCTCCTCCCCTTCCTCCTCCACCAGGAGACTAGAGTCCTAGACCTGGAGTCTCCCACAGTAAGGGCTGGGCTCCTTCTTCCATTCTCTAAGCTTCCCTAAGTACATGATGTACCTACAGTGTTATGCGTGACAGTCACTCACTGGCAAGCACACTGTGCCAGGCGCCAAGGGGTCTCTCCAGAGCAGTGGGGACCAAGGGATGAACAGCTCATCCCTGCCCTCAGGGAGCCTGTGTCTGGGGGTTAGGTGGCAAGCACAGACAGAACATTGTGGCCCCAGCCTGGCCGGCCTCCAACCAGAACTCTCCCCACTCCTCCTCCTCCGGGTCTCTGGTTCACTTGCACACTGTGCTCAATGCTGGAACATTCCTTCTTTGTCTGTGGCTAATGTAGGTTCTTCTGTGACCTTTTACTTTATAGGAATCTTTCCTAATTGCCCCAGTCCCAGCTGCAGCCATCTAAATGAAAGAGTCCTGCCATGGGGTGTATCTGCACCTCTTCTGTCCCCAGTGCAAGGGTCCCTATATGAGACAATGATTTCCTGGGCCTCCCAGGCTCATTGTGAGAGTGTAATTCCCATGAGAGTTGTCCTCCCTGGCTCCCCACCACATCCTTGTGTGCGCCGTGTTACCACATTTACAAACTATTTCATTTATTTGGCAAATATTTACAGAGTCCCACTTCAGGCTGGGAACTTCTCTCACCAGAGGGGATAAATGAATTAATGACAGACCCAAATTCTGCCATCATGGAGCTTGTGTTCCAGTGGGGAGGACTAGACAGTAAGTAGTCACTAGTGAAAGGATTGAGTGTATGACCGTGGGAGGAAAATGAGGTATAGAAAAGGTAATGACAGTTGGTGTATTTTCTTTTGAGGGGGAGTGGGGCTCAGGCTACAGCTCAGACAGGGTGATGGGGCTGGTCTTATGGTTCCAGTGATGCCTGAAGACAGAGAGGGAGTACGTTACCATGGCGTGTGGGAGAATCACCTATGCTGAGGGAATAGAGCCAGCGGAAAGGCAAAGTCATGTAGACGAGTTCTTGAGATGACAGGGCAGACTGTGCTGCTGGGGTGTGTGTAGGGGATGGGGTCAGGAGCAGGGGCAGAACAGCAGGAGCACACAGATACTACAGAGACTGGCTTTTACCCTGGGAAACTGGGAACATCAGAAAGGGACCAGAACATGGACATGGCCTCCTTTACCTAATCCAAGCTTTCTGAGTGGATGAATATCCAAATACCATGGCAAAGGAACCCCTGGGGGAAACTGTGTGATGTCTGGGGAGATTCCTGATTCCATCCGGGAGGCTGTGGAGGTTTCTCAGAGCAGGCAACATTGGATCATGATCAAGTTGGAGGAATCCAGGGGAGAATGAGCCTGGACAAAGGCTCAGAAGTACTATGGGACAAGCTGTAAATCCCACAGGCCTGAGGGGGGATGGGCTGTGACAAGACCACAGAGAGGTCTTAGAGGATCCTTGAGTGCTGGATGAAGTGTCTTGGAATTTGCTGGAAATCAATGAGGAGGCATGGTAAAGTCTGGGCAAGGTCAAGCCAAACTCAACCCTTTAGGTCCCTACTTAGGGTCTTGTTAGCCTTCCTGTAATTTTGGCTCTAGGATTTGTATCAAAGCAGAAGGTCCTGAAACAGACTCAAGGCCAAACTCATACTAACTAGGTTTTCCCTTCTGTGGACTTTCTGGTTCAAGTTGCTGTTCTTGATGATTTAACAGCAATAAGCCGCACAGCCTCGAGCAATAAGTGTTGTCTTCTCTGAGCCTCAGTTTCCCCTCTATAAAGGAGATGCCAGTAGTTCCTATCCATCATAGCTGGAGAGAAGCTGGTCTCTGCCCACTGTACAGTAGGCATCTGATAAATGCCAGGTGGGATCATGGGGGCCTAGGTCCAGGTGTTTCCAGCTGGTGAGGCAGTGGTCATCAGGGCAGGCAGAGAGGAGGGCCTCACCTGGGATGTGTCATGGTTGAAAATAACTGCATTGAGGTCCCCGCAGTTGTAGTGCTTGATGAGGTCCTCCGTGGTGTAGGGCGCCTGCAGGCTCCCAGCCCGCACACTCTCATGCTGCAGCAGAGTCTGGTTCAGGGCAAACAGCACCTGGCCGAGAAAAGAGAAGGGCGTCAGGGATGCTCTAAAGGACAGGCTGGCCTCTGGGAGTGGCCCTCGATGCTCTGGATTTTGGGGCTATCGGCATAAAACAGAAGGTACGTGACACAGTGAACTATCTGAGATTTGGGTGAGTCTTCCTCTTGTCTCCTTTGCCCTACTCTGCTTAGCAGTATTCTAAAACAAGCACCCCATTTTGTTACCAAGAGCACCCTGAGACGCAGTCAAGGCAATGAACAGTAGAAAACAAAGCTTGGTTCTGTGTCCAGGCCCAGAGGTCTCGGAGCAGGATCCTTGGAGCCCACCTTCCCATGTTTTTAGCAGATGCACCCTCTGCCTCCTCTGTGCTCTGGGATACTGGCTCCAGGGATGCAGTTTCCAGGCCTCAGGGTCACTTGGAACACTATACAGAAGTTGCTTCTCTCCTGGAATCAGAAGGTTTTCCAGGCTCCTGGCACGTTTTTGAAGCTCATGGCTCCCACGGTGCACAGGAGTCTTAGACACAGGCCCTGGAAGACAACCTGCTTCAGCCTTCCCATTACAGGTCCTCATTATGTAGCCTCAGCTGCCTTGAACTCACTTTCCTCCTCTCTTACTCCCCTCCCCCAAGTGTTGGCACTATAGACAGAGCCCACCACACCTGGCCATCCAAAATTGGGGAAACTGAGGCCCAGGACATGGAAGGCACTTTACCTGCATGACTTGAGCTGGAGTCTGTATCACAAGGTCTGGTATCCCAGACTCTTTTGGCCAACCAAAGGACTTTGTCAATCCCACCCATTCTGATGCCAGACCTGCTTCAGCCAATGGGATAATGGCAGTAAACATTACACAAAAAGGCCTGAAAAGCACCTGGGTGCCGTGGCCATCCCCTCTTCGTTTCCTCTTTGCCTTTGACTCCACTCTGATTGAGAGACACACAGAGCAAGACTTACACAGCCATTGACACTCAGATCAGCAGACAGGTAGCCAATTTCTAGACAGGTAAGGTCTGCAAGACAGTGGAGCCTGCCAACAACTGGTACTGGCTACCTGAGCTCTGCATGCTATCGTTAGACGGCATAATCTCGGCGACAGATGACTGACAGACCACGCTTCCATTAGCTTTTTATTGTGTTTACCTGCTAGCCTTACAGTAGGTTGAGTTTCCTGAAGTCAGGAGTGTATCTTCCTGGCTCTTGAATCTGCAGCTCTCGGCACTGTGCCCGGGGAAGGGAGGGTAGTGTGGTCTCTATTTCTCGTTAGAACCTGGAGACCTGCTGTTGCCTTCATAGTTAAAGGTGCTTTTTAAGCACTTAAGAAAAATATCTAGAAGACTAGCAGACATTCCAACCAAGACATATAATCTGAATAAAAAGCTTCTGAAATAGGTGTACAGGGCCAGGTCAACTTGGTGACACAGGCAATAGGGTCATGCGTGTGTTCCCTCCGTGTTTGCTAATGGCAGGAGAATTGGATTGCACAGACTGTGTTAGCCCCCACTGCTCCCTTTAATGAGAGGACTGGAGGTGAGGCCAGACCCCTTGCCCCATGTCAGGGCTTTCTCCAGACCCCTGGGCTTTGGCTGAAATCAGACCTGCAGCCATCTGGTGCCGAGTGTCGATGGCAGCGTGGTGGCTGGGGATGAATTACAGGAGGCAGTGACGTTTTCTGCCGTGGACATTGCTAAGACACTAAGCGCTTCCTCCCCCAGGGTGCACGCCTCTGATGAAAGCGCCCATGTCGAGCGGATCCACTCTCCTACTCTGAGGGCCCACGACAGAGGGACTTCCTGTGACCACACCCAGCTGCTGCACACACCTGCTCTGCTGCTTCTTAGATCAGGCAGTGCCCAGGGGTGAGGTCATCTGCCTGGGTACCCGGAGACCTGGCTGGAGGGTAAATGCCTCCCCTGGACCCTGCTTGACTCAAGAAGTCAGGTCTGCAATGATGAGGCCTTCCTGAAGCCGGGAGGTATTTCAGGGGATTAAGTATATTCCCGGCTGCCGGGTGTTAAGCATAGTCCTGGCAAGAAATGAGTGCTGAGTATGTGTTCATTACATAAAACTTAGGAGGAAAGAAGGCCAAATCTTCCCGGCTAGGTGCTGGGAGATAGGGTCCCAAGAATTCATCTGGTGTGGAGGTTTCAAACTACTTTTAGCTGTAGAATTCTTTGTTGTTGTTATTGTTGCTGTCTTTCTCCAAAGGACTCTTACTTGGAGTTTTGAACGTGGAACAGATAAAAATAGTAAAGTCGTGGCTGATATAAGGGAGGCTGGGATGGGGGATGGCCCCGTGCTGCAGGGATTTCCACGGGAACCCTGGAGCCTAGTTTAAGGATCCCTGATCTCATTTTGTACATTCTTAATGCAAAGGAAGAGAGGGAACAGCAGCCCAGGCAGGTAGGAAGAAGTGTGCATGAGTTCATATCATACAGGGAGTTGGGCACAACGGGCTCTACCCAAGGAGTTGGTCCTGACTCCCAGCCTTGGGTCACAAGGCTGATGATGCAGGACCTTCTGCTGTCTACTGGCATAGCCATCCATACCTGTTTCTCTGATCATTGTAAAGCAGTCAGGGTGCTTGCTGTTGGGGTGCTGCAGTCAGGAAGCTAAGGCCCACCCGGCCATTCGAGAGTTTCGCAGCTCCCTGCATGTCTCAGCTGGTTTGTGACATTAACTATATTCTGGTGGGATCTGGTACCTCCCACAGGCTCCCTGTGCGGAGACCACTTCAGAGGCGTGTGTCCTACATAATTGATTTGGCCCTCTGTCTTTTTGTTCGCCCATGAACCCCAGAGTCACAGACATCAGACACTCAGAAAACACTAAAAAGAAGGTGCTGACCCTGAATCATGTTCCCCCCACTTCCTGCTCCATACCTACTCTTTGTAACTCATGACAGAGTCATCACCCATTCACACTGGGACCCCTGGTTTTATTGAGCCCTTACTATGCAACATAAACTTCCTGAGTGGATTCACTATTTAATCTTTATTGCAGCTCCCAGGTGAAATTAAGATGAAAAAATTCCACAGTAAAGATACATTAAATACCAACCCAAGGTGAGGAAGCTGGCAAGAGGTAAGATGGACCAGTTGGTACATGTTCTGTCCCTGGTCAGTGCCCACAGGGGCCCCCCTCTGTTCTGTCAAGGAGAGGAGGGACAGCAGGGATGTAGAGATGGGGCACAATAGAAGCCGAGGGAGTGACAAGCTCAACGAAAAGAGCGGAGATAGAATTCCAGATCACTGGCTTACTACAAGCAAGCCTTGAGGCACTGTGTCCTCTTTTGTGAGCACTCTTGGGGTTTCCAACTAGCAAAAGGAAGCTATATGACCACCCCTTTTTTCCTCCCCCTTCCCTTCCTTCCTTTATCAAACAAAGGCTTTCAGTAGCTTCTCAGCAGGGACTTGGGTTTGATGGAGAAATATATCGTGGTTTCTAAGCACATGGAACTCATGGAGGAGGCAGACAAGCCACTGACCTTCACGTCAGGGTGACAGAGGCACAAGCTTTAGAATGAAGTACCACCCTGGCTTCTGCTTCCCTCCCCAGCTCCCAGAATTCCCCAGGCCTCTGGGCATTCTACTCCCAGCCACCTTAGAACAACAAACCTCCCTTGCAAGGAGCCTCAGTGGCCCACACTAGGATAATGTTTATGATAAGGCTATGACATAGAATAACAAACACAGGGTGGAGAGTAGAGGCCTTGCTCCCCCGGATGCCTACGTGGAGTCCTGGCCCTCGGGAACCCTGGCCACCAAGAAATGTTGCGTGCATCCTCTTCTACCCCGCCTCCCAGAGCTCATGGGGCGCAAGATGGCTGGAGGCGTCTGTTGAGTTTGTGGGCTTGGAATCTAAATAGGTCTTCAGACAGAAGACTAAGGTGGAGAGTGGCAGGCGCCAGGAGGCTGGAAAGAGGCTTGTTTTTCCAGAACAGCCTAGTAAATAATCCCAGACAGACTAGAATGCCAGACTTGAGGTCTATGCTCATTTGTTTGCCCACGTCACCTGAAGGGAAGGTTTGGATCCCGGGCTCTTTGGACAGGCCTGGTTCTCAGGTTAAGGATCTGGGATGATGAGGGAGGACTTCTACCAAGACCGGAGCCCAGAATAATGACAGCTAAATCCTAAGCCCGCTGACAGTGTTCACCGAGTACCTTCTCGGTGCCAGTGCACCAGGCAAGGGCAGCAGAGACAAAGGCCTCGCCTCGCTCTCACACAGCTTGCCCGCTAGGTGAGCATTCTGTGTTCACTGTCATCAGTGAACTGCATGGAAGCAGGGCTGTGCTGATCCTGCTGAACTGGGGCATCTCTGCAACACAGGCAAAGAGGGCAGAACAGCCAGCGCTGCTGGAGGCTGGGCCCGAACACTGAGAGAACCGGTTTGCTCTCTCCACTGTGGGGGTGAAAAGGGTGTGTAGAACACACGGTGTCTTGAGGGGACTCAGTGCTCCCATGCCCTGTGAGTAGAGTTCTTGGGAAATGACAACACTTGTACCCAGACATCCTTGAATAAAGCCCGAGGATGGATTTTAGGTATCAGCCTGGTTCTGAACCTTGGAAGCTGAGGTTCTTGCTGAGGGAAAGGAAGTGAAGAACGGATGATAGAGAAGGTGGGAAGTCCCAGAAGCTATCAAGTGTGGTCACTCACAAGAAATGGAGACTGTAATGGCCGTAAATATTTATTTTTGAGACAGCGCCTTTGTAGCCCAGGCTAGCCTTAAACTCACTATATAGCTGAGGATAACCTTGAACTTCAGATCCTCTTTCCTCTACTTCCCAAATGTTGGGGATACTGGCATGTGCCACCATTCTCAGTTTATATGGATGCTAAGCAAATGTCCTCAGCCCTGCATATGTTTGTGTGTGAGGGTTAAGTGTGGATGTATGTCTGAGTGTTATTTATCTCAAATATCTTGGTTTTCTTGTCCTCTAATCGTGTAACACTGGTGTATCGACCATTCCTATGAGGGTGCTTAAGTGCTGTTAACTTGATATCGCAGCAGT